ACCAGATACAATAATAATACCATCTGCCTCATAGTGCTGTTGTCAAGGTTAAATGAGATTAAGTAAAATTATGAGAAGAGTTCTTAACAAAGTGCCCTTCACCCAGTAGCTCTGAATAATGATACTGTTATGGCTCATGACCATTTATTCAACACTCTTCAATCCCTACGAAGAACAAAGTATGAACCCACCTACCTCAAGGGTCTTTCTGTTCAATAGAGGAGTCAAATACATAAACAAGTGGACATAAAGCAAAGCAGAATTAGTAAATGCACGTGAGATAGAAACACGATATGCTTTGGCGAGTAGAGAGATGAAAAAAACATTAGTCTTTCCAGAACAGAAGAGGCACAGCAGCAGAGGTGGCCCATGAGCAAGGCTCTGATCCGTGGAAGCAGATGGCAAGAAGTGGCCGGAGGTGAGGCATGGAGATGTGACAGTGCGGGGTGTGTGGAATGTTCCAGCCCTCCTCCTTCCATCCCAGCAGCCCCACTGTCCACTTAGGCATCCACCCCATGTGGGGAAAGCCTTGAGGTCAGGGGAAACCTTGCAGCAGGTAGCCACTCAGCTCATCCCAGCCCACTGGCAACTGGGCAGATGCATGTCGAAATCAGTATACTCAGATTGAAGATCAGTCAGGAATGCTGGGGAAAAGTCATTCTTTTTCTTTCTTTTTTGAAGGGGTCTCACTCTGTCACCCAGCAGGCTGGAGTGCACTGGCACAATCTTGGCTCACTGCAACCTCTGCCCCCTGAGCTCAAGTGATCTTCCCTCCTCAGCCTCCCAAGCGGCTGAGACCATGAATGTATGCCACCAATCCTGGCTAAGATTTTGTATTTTTGGTAAAGATGGTGTTTCGCCATGTTGGCCAGGCTGGTCTCCAACTCCTGAGCTCAAGTGATTCACCTGCCTTGGTCTCCCAAAGTGCTGGGATTACAGGCATGAGCCACCATGCCCAGCTAAGTTATTCTTTTGTTACGGATATGAGACGAAGAGCTGCTGGCAACCATTTTGGGACCATTAGAATCAGAAAGAAATTGTGGCCAGGTGCAATGGCTCAGTTTGTAATCGCAGCACTTCAGGAGGCTGAGGTGGGAGGATCACTTAAGCCCAGGAGTTCAAGACCAGTCTGGGCAATAAAGGAAGACACCACCTCTACAAAAAGAAAAAAAAATTAATTAGCCAGGTGTGATGGTGCATGCCTGTAGTCCCAGCTACTAGGGAGGGTGAAGTGGGAAGATCACTCTTGAACCCAGGAGGTCAAGGCCACAGTGAGCCATGATTGTGCCACTCCACTCCAGCCCAGGAGACACAGTAAGGCCCTGTCTCAAAAAGAAGAAAGAAAAAAAAATAAAGTAATTAGATCCTTGGGGAATTGTTGAGCCTTACCAGAAGCCCACTCTGACACTAGATTTATTTCTTCTTCTTTTTTTTTTTATTGTAGAGATAGGATGTTGCTATGTTGCCCAGATTAGTCTTGAACTCCTGGCCTCAAGCAATCCTTCTGCCTCAGCCTCCCAAAGTGTTGGGATTACACGCATGAGCCACAGTGCCCAGTCAACTGACTCTAGACTTATTTTGTTCCAGAAGCAAATAAGGCCTTGTATTGTATAAGCCAGTTTGAGTTATGCTTTTCAGTTTCCTGATGTTCAAAAAAGGACCTAAAATAGAGTTGTAAAAAAATTGAAACTAGAAAGGTATTAGAGGGTTAAACCATGAAAGGCTTTCCTTGACCCATTCTAAGTCATTAGACTTTACATAGGCAGTGGGAAATCCCACTGAAAACTGCTGAGGAGGGAGGTGGCATGATAAAATCTGTTTTAGGAAATTAACTCTAAAGGCAGGATGAATGATAGACTGGAAGGGAGAGGGATTCGAAGCAAAACACCACCACCACTGATTGATTAGTCATGAGTCTGGGCTGGTAAAAGAACATTTTATCAACTATCTCCAGATGTCCACATGGCCTGGAGTAGGAAGAGTAAGCAAGCAGAGAGACCCATGGCAACCGATCTTCTTATCAGTACCAAGGGCCTTCCCTTCCCTTAAGAGCTTAGTGTATACAGCAGAGTCCAAATCCTAAGACTGTATTACAATACCTCAGAAGCCTACCCAGTTGTCTTAGAAGCTTCAAACAACAGGAAATTTTTAATTTTAAAACAAAGACCATTTTAATTTAAATTTTTAACTAACATTTTTAAAAGGTGGGGAGGATACAACCCCAAAACAATAAGCTGTAACCAAAGTTTGTAAATCACTGACCTAAATCATGGAACTCCCAGCACCCCTTCCTGGAGGGGGAGCCAGTCCTGGCATGGGTTCCCAGCCCCCTGGGGAGCTACTGGTGTGCTAAAGCCTTGCAGTGCCTGTGGACAGGAAGAGGCTCCAGAACTCCCAGAGCTCCTATCCTCAGATCCACGAGAAAATGCGAATCTCTCCTGGAGCAATCTAAGTGTCTCGATTCCTCTTCCTGTGGCCTTTCTCTGCTGCCCTTGCTGCTGCACTGTTCCGGGCTGATGACGCCAGGGCAGTGAAGGTTTCTTGGCCCCCACACCTTCCCCGGTGCTGAAGCAGTGCATGGTAACCTGGCTGTCCCCAGTTCTGATGCATTCCCCAGTCTTCCTCATGGGCACACTCCCACCTGCATTCCAAACTGACTGTTTCATTTACATAATTCCAATAGCTTTCAGGGCCAGCTTCCTGTTTTTGTTAACTCCTGTACAGTTTTTTGGTTTTATAAGAAACAAGGGCCCCAGCTCACAGTCACCTTCCACCAACAGAGTTTATCTGCATCAAAGAAGACAGGGAAGCTTCTGTCCATTTGGGTTTCCTTCTTATTTTAGAAATAGAAGCTTAAAAAACAGCCAGTGGTTTCCAATCCAGAGTTGCATATAAGCTTTTGACTTCACTGGTTACTGGCTTCCTGTTAACCGAAAGAAGTTTCAAGCTGAGTCAGAGAAGAGAACCTGGCCCAGCAGTGATTCATTAGTGTTGCTAATGACACCCCTGTTGCCACCACCATCACTCTGCTTCTGCTGGGGCTGCTGGGGCCTCCATGTTAGCCTAATCCTAAGAGAGCAAGAAACTGAAGCCATTTTTTTGATTTTCTCTTCTAGATGGCTTGCAGTGGCAGCAGTGAGCACAGGCCAAGCAAGACTGGCCTTGAGATGAGGAGGCCAGATGGGCCCTAAATCAGGGTGGTTTCAGGATGCCCAGGAAGGCACTGCTGCTGCAGAATAACTTCCCCCTCTCCCCACCCTCCCTTTGCACAGTGCCTGAAGATTCTTCCTCCCTTTGAGCTTTTCTGGTCTTCCTGTAAGATACAAACACAGCTTAAAAGGGCTGCTCATACCCTCATATGATTAATGTGATGAGCTCACTTTGGAAAATACTAACCACTTGAAGGAAGCAGATGGAAGAGATGCTGAAATTATAACCCAAAAGACTACCAGGCCAGAAAAGAGAGGCAGGAAAGAGACACAAGTGTCAACTACTTCTCAGTTTTACCCAGATCCAGGCTTCACTGCACAGTCATGGTCAGGTGCACCTGACCACAGGACAGCCAGCAGTGTGGGAAGTGTTCAGCGTTCCTCAGCCATGACTCTAGTTTAGGGATTTCTCCCAGTGCCAAGATCCTCTTGGAGGGCTCCAACAAACAGCAACACATTTAAAAAGTTGCTTTAGAAATGCATCTGTAACAAAAAAGGGTTCCCAAGCATGTCTTCTTGCAGCTATGTCTGTCATATGCCATTATCTTACCTAATCTTCATAGCAACCTAGGAAACATCACTTCTCCTGATTCAATAGATGAACAGTGAAGATGATACCACAAGTAAATTTCTGACTTAAAATATCATATTCCATCAGAGTACAACTAATTCCAATACTTTAAAAATCAACATATCATTCACATAACATAAAATGTATCATTTTTTAAAGTAAACATAAAAATCTATCATTTGTTAAAGTATACAGGTCAGTGGTTTTTAATATATTCACTATGTTGTGCAAACATCACCACTATCTAATTCTAGAACATTTTCATCACCCCAGAAAGAAATCTTGTACCTATTAGCATCACTCCCAATTCCTCCCTATGCCCCCCTCCCCAACAACCACTAACTACTTTCTGTCTCTATAGATTTGCCTATTTGAACATTTCATAGTAATGGAATCACAAAATGTAGGTTTTCTTTTGTGACTGGCTTCTTTCACTGAATGTTTTCAAGAGTCATCCATGTTGTAGCATATAATAGTGTTTCATTCCTTTTTATGGCTGAATAATATTCCATTGTATGAATATACCACATTGTTTATCCATTCATCCATCAAAGAACACTTAAGTTGCTTTCACTTGTCAGTTACTGTGAAGAACATTGCTATGGATATTATTGTACAAGTTTTTGTGTGGACATATGTTTTCAATTACCTTGGGAATTCCTAGAGGTTTTTTTTTTTTTTGTGACAGAGTTTCGCTCTTGTTAATCAGGCTGGAGTACAATGGCTCAATCTCAGCTCACCGCAACCTCCACCTCCTGGGTTCAGGCAATTCTCCTGCCTCAGCCTCCTGAGTACCTGAGATTACAGGCACGCGCCACCACACCCAGCTAATTTTTGTATTTTTAGTAGAGACGGGGTTTCACCTTGTTGACCAGGATGGTCTCGATCTCTTGACCTCGTGATCTACCCGCCTTGGCCTCCCAAAGTGCTGGGATTATAGGCGTGAGCCACCGCGCCCGGCCTAGAGTTTTTTTATATATCTGAGACACAGAAAAGTCTAAAAGAAATGAGTATCGGCTATGGTATTGCATTTATTACCAGGTATTTATAATATGCCTGTGTTCAATAAGGGTTTGCTGTATTCCCACCACTATATCCTATACCACCTGTATTACTGCACCTGACACACTGAGTCTGTTTCCACAACTGCATGGAGCGCTCTTTGAAGGAAGGGACCCATCGTGTTCACTGTAAACAATTTCTTAAGTATAAGTCATTACCTGTCTGTGAAGCAGCAGCACCTTCCTGGGCATGCTGAAACCACCCTGATTCAGGCCCCATCTGGCCTCATCTCAAGGCCAGCCTTGCTTGGCCTGTGCTTATACTGCTACACCATCTGGAAGAGAAAATCAGGATGATGGCTTCAGTTTCTTGCTCTCCTAGTATTAGGCTAACATGGAGGCCCCAGTAGTAGCAGCAGTGATGGTGGTAGCAAGAGGGGTATCAACAGCAACACTAGGCAGCTGGGCCAGAGCTGAATGACTGGGGTTGAGCATCTTCCCACAGAACAACCAGCAGTGGAGAAAGTGCTCAGGCATGGAAGTTCTCCCCACAGGCTCCTCAGTCAGGAATGAATCAATCAGACCCTCCTCAAGTGGAGGGTGGTTGGTAGAAGCCAATAGACACAAGAAAGGATGCAGTAAGCAGCAGCGCTGAGGAAGCCGGAGTTCTGGGGTATTGAGAAGGATAGGTAATTGTTCAGTAACTGCTGGGCTGGCAGGGAGGCTCAGAGACAACAAACCTGTGCAGCTGGGAGGACCAGGGGCTGAGTCCCTGCCACTACATCAAATCCTGAATCCTTTTTCACTTCCCAGATTATGTTCCACTCCACATGAAAAGAGCATACCTTACTGCTTATTATGCTCTCTGCCCATGGCTTTCTCATAGATGTCTTTTTCATTGTTGCTGTTTTGTAGAGATGGAGTCTCACTGTATTGCCCAGGCTGATCTCAAACTCCTGGCCTCAAGGTTTCCTCCTGTCTCGATCTCCCAAAGTGATGGGATTAGATTACAAAAGTGAGCCACGGCACCCACACCCAGCCTGCTCCTCTTGCCCAGAGAGTTTGCACATGGACTACTGCTCCCCGACCCCCTCCTCCAGCCACTCCTCACCAATAGCAAATGCTCTTCCCCTGGCGAATGCACATTCCTCCTGGGATCTCAGTGAGGACCGCTTGGAGCAGTAAAAGCCTCTCCTTTAAGGCTTCACAGCTGCATCAGCGTCTTTGTGACACCACTGCTGTAAGACTGCATCTATAGAGTGATTACTTCATTCTTATTGATACCCAGCTACACTAACACTCCATTAAGGTAGAGACTATTTTGGCTCAGCTTTGTATCCCCAGCACCTAGCCTGACACTTAGCAGGGCAATGAATGCGTGATGAACAAATGAATTCCTTTTCTTCTCAAGGAGAAGGAAACATGTACAATTTTGAAGTAATTAAGGATACAGGACCTTCACATTGACCTTCGTCGTAAAAAATCAGAGTGGATTGACAAAACTCAAGGCATGTACAAGGCATGCCCTGGGACCCTCTCCTTCTGCCATAGGAAGGACAATACCTTGGCATCGGAGAGAAGGGGGTTGGGATGAGGACTGGGCTTATTGTGTGAGGTAGTCTCAAGTCCTTACTTGAGGAGTCTCCTTGATCAGCCAAAATATTGATGAGTCTCAGGAAGGTCTCCCCCGCCCACCACAGGAACTACTCTCACCATGGGGAAGGTCTAACAGGCCTCTAAGGCATGAACTGGTAGAGGGTGTGTGTGTGCACATGTGTGCATGCATGTGTGTGTACGTGTGTGTGTGTTCATCCTGTACTCCAGATGCAGGTAAAGAGCAGTTTGGGGGGCTCAGATGCCGCGCCTGAATAGGGGAAAGTGGAGATAGGCAGAGAGGGCGGAAGAAAGCAAGCCACTTTCAAAACATCCCTCCAAATCTGAGTTTAGTGTAATAATCTGATTTTGTGAGGCAAAGATCCAGAGGGTATTGGGCATGAGTCCAGTTCAAAATCAATCTGGTGGGCACCTCAGGGCTCAAAAATACTCTCTTTACCAGGTCCTGACCTAGGCCACCTGTTACTGGTGTTGTGGAAGCTGGAATTCAGTTTTGCTTAGGGCAGAATCCTGAAGCAGTCTTTAAGATAAAGTGGCTGATAAAGTGGCTTTAAGCTAAAACAAAAAATCCCAAAAGAACTAAAGGAGTTCAACTACAGAAACCAGTATTTAGTACCATCAAGCTAGTTATCACAGGGTTTCAGCCACAAGCAAAGGTTTGGCAGGAATGTGAATTCAAAAGTCAGGACTGTTGGGCAGCAGCCTTGATAAATCAGTTACTCCTTCCCGTCTCCTCTATCTTCCTCCTCTCCTGCTTCCAGATGTAGGCTGAAGGGGAATCCAAGTATGTGGCCTGACATATATTTTCCGGGCATACAGGCTTGAGAGCATTACAAGGACACAGGGATAAATCGAGAGGACCTGGCATGCTGAGAAAGATGACAGCAGAATTAGTTAATTCTACTCCCTTGGACTAGATAGCACGTTGAAAGGCTCTGTGATTTCTGAAATCCTACAGGAAAATGATATGAGATGTAATGTTTCAAGGTCCCTTTAGTCAAATTTATCAATAAAGAATGTGAAATACCAACACTGCTGATAAAATATTCAGAAATTACATTACGACGGCTTTTGACCTGCCATCTGTGATAAGACTTATTTAAAAATCGACCCTGTGTGGCTTTTAAGGCTAAAAGACTGAAAGACATTATTACTGATTTTGCAGTTAATTTGAAGAACCACATCTGATCTTACATTGTCCTTTCTCATCAGATCAATACCTTCAAGTTTACTGTCTGTTAAAATGCTGCAGTACCGCAGCAAATTTACATACCCAATTGGTTCTGTGGCAGTGACAAGCACAAAGTGGTGTTAATGAAGGGACTCTGGTCTGTCCTTCCCAGACTGAAGAGGAAATTATTGAGTCTCCTCCAGGTGCATGAGAGGAGACGGGAATTGCACTCTCCCCCTGCCATTCTCTTACCTCCAACCTACACAAACAGCTTGATTCCTGCCTTTGTTATGGGCTCCTAAAAGCACACTGGAGTACCACTGAATGAGTGTGACCTGAATTATCAACAAGATATGGTAAAAGCAAATCATCCCCAAATTCAAATATTTTTTACTATAACGGAAACTTTGATAAACCTTGCAATGCATTGGGATGTCTCAACTCTGTGCTTTGTTCTGTACTGGAAACCATCCGCTGCCCTCTCTGCCACTCCCAGGTGTTTACTTTTCATTATTTTTGCTAACAGCAATCACACGCCTTCCTTGATCCCTGGGCTTAAACTGAAACTACATTTAAAGAAGCACACTAGTTCTCCCTGTCCCACTCCTAGAATATGTACATAAACACACATATAAACACACACACACACACACACACACACACACACATGTTCAGAGCCCCAGGTAGGTTTCCCTGACAACTTTAAAAGCCAGAAAATGACTTGCAAACTTCCTTTACATTCTGCAAATTAAAAATTTCTACATGTCTATTACACAAATCCTACAATCTCTTCATCACCCACCATATTAAGTTTATATACAAAGATTAGCCAAATAACTTCCAAAAACTAGAGAAAAATTTTGTTTCCAGGCTTAAAATACCTTTGTCAACTGGTGACAAAACAAGATTTCAAGGGATGAGTAAAGGCCCTGGGGTCAATGCCCTCATTCTCCAGGGAAAAATGTTGACTAAATCCTTATAAATGGATTAGATGGCTCACTGTCGTCCATCCTGATATTGTTGGTGATTATAATAAAATAGCCAAAGTCATTCATTTAGTCTCCCCATCAACAGATGGTGCCTGCTTTTCTCTCAAACTTGCCTAAAGGCCTCTGTTACAAACTCAGAAATAAAATGGGGACTTTTTGAAGCAATGTCAAAAAAAGACAATAAAAACTGTAGCAGGGACTCAGCTATGGATATTACAGCAAAAAGACTCAGAGCACAGGCTTTTGAGAAGGAACTGATGTCATTACCACAGACACCTGTGACTCTGTACTGGGGACTCAGGACTTTCAGGATGCCTAGCACAGAAAGAGGTGACTTCAAGAAAGCAGACTGCCTACCCAAGATCAGCAAAATAAAAGTTAATTTCCTGGGATTAAATAAACTGATTTAATTGCAATTAGTCTTCTATTTTTAGTAAGTATTTGAGGAGAACGCTTTTCTTTCTTCTTTTTCTCTATCTATTTAAAAGGACATACTTGTACAAACAGAAATGAAACATTCTTTAAGTATATATGTTAAACCAGAAAATTCAAAGAAAAAACTTCAAAAACATAATGATTCCATAAAGTATATTAATAGATTTTATCTGTAAACTACTCAAAACCATGGCAACAGTGGTTAAGTATTATTCAAAGTGCCTTTATTCAGTTCCTTTACCTTTATGATCATGTAGTTATTTGCTTAGGCTCAATAAAAATCCATCCTCTTTCCTGTAAGACTAAACTGAATAAATCAAATTTTCAACAATAACCAAGACCCAAATCTCACTTAATTAGATATGATAAGCCACTTTTAAGGAACAAGGACTATGCTTTACAGTTCAGCAGGGGGAAATGACTACACACAGTAATGCGTTGGTAAGTGTTGAACAACCAGCTCTGCAAAGGAAAAACAAGCACTGAGTTGTAGCATTTGCCAATTTCTGTGGTATAAATATTCCTGTCATGGCCAAATTTAACATGACATCACTGAATGTGGAGCTGAGAAGACATATGAAATAGCACATCACTATAAAGTATTTCCTCCATAAAGATGCAATATTCAAGTTGAATGATGAAGAATCATAAAATAACTAACTGAACTGATGCAATAGATGCAGATAGGCAGATAGGCCAGGCACAGTGGCTCACACCCCTAGTCCCAGCACTTTGAGAGGCCAGGATGGGAGGATTCTTTGAGGCCAGGAGTTCAAGACCAGTCTCTAGGCAATATAGTGAGACCTTGTCTCTACAAAAATAAAAATGAAGTAAATAAATGGGCCAGGTACAGGGATTAGTGCCTGAAATCTCAGCACTCTAGGAGGCCGAGGTGGGCAGATCACTTGAGGTCAGGAGTTCAAGACCAGCCTGGGCAACATGGTGAACCCCTGTCTCCACCAAAAAATACAAAAATTAGCTGGGCAGGGTGGCGAGCATCTGTAATCCCCAGCTACTTGGGAGGCTGAGGCAGGAGAACTGCTTGAACCTGGGAGGCAGAGGTTGTAGTGAGCCGAGATCGTGCCACTGTACTCCAGCCTGGGTGACAGAGCGAGATTCTGTCTCA